AAGGTCCTGTATTCAATCCTCAGTAGTGAGAAGAAAAAAAAAGACCTTCAATTATATACAACTCCTCTTGAAGCTAATCCTAAACTACTGTCCTCAGTTCCACAGAATCTGACTACAGACTTTAAATTGTTTTTATTTCATATAAAGCTAATGAAGTTCCAGATAAATTCTATCCCTAAGTATCCAAATAATCATATTAACTGCTGAGCGTTTTCCTTTAAACTTTTGAAAAACTCAGTGCTTATTTTCTAGCTCTGATTTTGTTTTTTAATCACAGAGTTTAAGGAAATGAACTAATTAGCCAGGTATTTGTGTCTTTCTGTGAGGATTGTTTAGCTGCAGTAGAGCATACTTAAGAGTAGGGTAGAGTATATGTAAGAGTAGAGTATCCCTGTCCTTGTGATAGAAAAGGAAATGTATCCAGTCTGTAACAACTTTATAAATAAGGGAAATACAATAGCAGGAGCAATAAGCTCACGTTCTTTTCCTAACGTTAAGTGGGCAGTCTTGGTTAAAGTCATTGTACGTATATAGGTTATTGGACATTGTCAAGGCGCAACACATAACATTCACATTGTGAAATTCTTAGCTTTGTGTGTGTGATTACTTGAAATTTTAATTGTTCTTATTCAACCACAGCATTGTATGTTTTTTTCCTCTTTTTATTTCTTTTTCCAAATGGCACTGAATGTTGCTCTTTGTAGAATATTTGTAGAAGGAAAAAAAGGTTGTGAGGAAAAGAAAATGTCATCCGAAAAAAGCTGCAAAATAGCACCATGGAAAGGACAGCATATTGTAAGAGGTGCCGATCTGGTAGATGGTCCTTATTCAATGAAGAGTGAATCTAGGCCTAATGACCAGATGGCAAAGCGGAACACAGAAATTCCATATGTGTGATGGTAGCGAGGGACGGCCACTGACATACTTGCTTTTCCAGCCAAATGCCTCAGCAGATGCAGAGTTTTACACTTTAACATTGCAATATGGCACTAAAACCCAGGAGAAGAGTTAGATGCAAGATTCAAAGCTGATTTAAAGTGGCAGAATTTAAATCTGATCCTGTCCTATTAGGGTGAAATCTATGAACAGAAAGTGAAGGAATATTAGTTCTCTCTAGGATTGTATTTTGTAGGTCTTGTTACATTGTCCAAAGAAAGGCTAAACCTAGTCATAGCACTAATAGGTTCCTTGTCCCCAAGCCTTTCTAAAAATGCCAAATAAAAGTCATGGTTCTGAAGAGGATTAGTAAAACAAAACAGCATTAATGTGCTCTGCCTGAAGTCTAAAAGCTCATAATATGAGTTATTTTCCACTTTGAATAAACTGCAAGATGTACTTGAAAATTAGATTTTAATTTAATTGCATTTTTCTGTATGAGGTGCTAGAGGCAGCCATCTTTGTGGAAAAGGATCAGGTCCATGCTGCACTGCCTAAAAAGCCTTAAGAAAAATTTAGTTAAAAAAGTGACTCTCATAGACTTTAGAGCTATTTTAATACATACAAATATTACATATATATATTATGCACATATGTATATAAGGATATTGTCAGGCCACAGAGCTTTTTGAAATTATTATGATATGGCCTGGAAAATCATTCGAAGCCTCTTTCTTAGTCTCAATTGTTTTCCATAAGGGATGGCCACCAGAGACAATAATAGCAAACTCATTTCCCCAAACATACCCTCAGTTGAGCAGAGTAAGAAATTCTTTTACACTTTTGTGTTAACTGGGGCTGACTCTTGTTGTAGCTGTGTCATTCAAGGTTCAGTGAAGGCAGCAATGTGTGTCAACTTTGGTCAAGTCTCAACATTTTTCTGCAGTGATTCTCATTGTCCTGTTGAGACTATGAAATATCTTCCATGACCAGTGCCTTTCCTTTCCAGCTAACCTCCCTGTATTTCCCTACTTAAAATTCAAGTATGCTAAATTGGCATCCACTCACCAGGCATACCCGGCATTTTCACATCACTGCAGAGTGATCAAGTGATGATCGCACTCTCTATTTTTTATGTTCTTGTTTTCCAGTAATTTCTTTTTGAAGATGAATAAATGTGATCATGGTTCTCATAGAGTACGTAGTTAGCCAGGAAGGAGCTGAATCCGAGAAACTGGCAATGTGGTCCTGAGAGGAATTTTCACACAGTCTAGATTTCCTGAGTTAGGGGCACCAGACTTCCTAAATAGAACACTTTATGCCCCTATACAAATTTCTCTTTCTGCCTACTTTTGCATCCTTTAATCCCAGACAGCCACACCTACAGGCACAGGCCCCCAGTTGAACTACGGTGACCTTGTGTGCCCCTCATAGGCCTCATTTACATGCATTTGATGAACACTGTGGCTTTGAGCCCCCTGAATGGGCTTTGGCTGTCATACTTATTCCTAGTAAGCTCAGGCAATTGAAAAAACTTCCCCTGTGGAAGTGAGAGCTGATTGTCTTCACTGATTGAAAGACGCCTGGTCAGTCAGAGACCCGAGGCTCTTCTTCAAATTCCAAGGCCTGTAAAGGAAACCCATCCTAGAATTCCGGGCAGATGCTTCCTGTAGACCCTGCTTGCATGTGACTCCCTCAAGTGTATTATTCTCTCATAAAACTACTTTGTTTGTTATTCAGTAAACTGGTTTTAAAATTTGTATTTTCTGACTCTGAGTCCCTTATGTAGACCTCCCTCAAATTTTCTCTGGGAGGGTCCAAGAGCCAACTAAGACCACCACGTGATGCAGGGGGGTCTCCCAGCCCTTATTCACCTCGACTTTCCCATAATCATTGCTGTCCCTCAGAGGAAAAGAATGAAGAATTTAGAGCTTGTGTCACCATAGTGCTGCACCAATATTTAACTTACAATTGTGGAATTGAAATAATGATCATCAGACTTATCAGGCCCATGTTGTGCATTGAATAACCTGGGGGAGGGAAGAGAGATGTAAATGGATAAAGTCGCATTAGTGTGACCTATAAGGTTGGGTTCATGGAGCAGAGTTCAAAGTTATGGATCATTTGTGGCTGTCTGCAGTAGTATTAATGTGTAGCTATTCATCCACCGTGTTTATCACAATGTCCAGTTGAAATTTCACCTCCTGAAATAATTGTCTCTGATGATATTAATAAAATACATTTTATAAGTTCTTCAAGGAAGTGGTTTAAGATAAGCAACAGCAGCACGTGTAGTCATAGTAACAATAGGAATGATTAACATTTATGAGCATGTAATAGATGTGTGATACTGCATTAAGTATACATGATCTCATTTTATCTTTCCTATAATTCTATGAGCTAGTCATTATTATTTTCTACGTATTTTTTAAAAAGCTTAATGTTATGAGATAAATATTAGGGGAGTATGTAACCTCTGCAAGATCATAGATTTGATAAATAATATAGCTGGGAATTAAAGTCTATTCTGTTTAATTATAGAATAACAAACTTTAATTGCTCCAGTAAGATACCAGAATATGATCACTGGACTCAACTAAATTAGTTTTGGAGTCTTTTTAGGCTAATAACTACAGCCTGTCTCATGTATTTAAGGTAATACTGAAGGCCTTTCAAGTCAGAAAAACACAATAAAATACTTCTATTTATTAGCTCCAGCATATGACCTTAGCACATTCTAATGTGCATTTTTTATATACTATTTTTCCTATTTGAGAATTCCTTATTCAATTGTCCCCCAAGTGATTCATGTTTATCATCTACTCAAGATTTCGGCCAATTTCCATACCCACACAGAAACTTTCTCTGACTCTTTATGCCCAGGATGATGGATTAACTGTAAATCTATTCACTTCCATTGGCTCACTCAGCAACTTCCCTAGTCTACAGTGCCATTGTTTCTCAGTAAACTATCACAATAATTCCTTAATTGGATATACTCTTTTCATCCTGTTCTCTCACTCTGATCTATTATCTATTCTTCTCCTAAAGTGATATTTTCAAGCTGCATCACCCATTCTATGCCCACATCTATATAATAAACTTAGGCTTTAACTTCTGGTTTCTGATAAATATTCTGGGTTCAGCTGCTTTAGCAATAACTTCTCCCTTTTTGTTACCACTGACATGGACCTTTTTTCTTTGCTTATTTTCTGCCTCCCTCTCTTATTTCAAGTTTTTCTATAAGTTGCTCCTCTTCCCTGGAATTACTCCAACTTTCCTAGTTTACTCTTGTACCTCCTTCAAATTCAGAATTCCTTGAGTATGAGGAAGAGCCAACAACCTCCAAGACGTGTGCTAACTTTTGGCCAAGTAATTGGCCAGTGCTAACAGTGACAATTATTTCCAGCTTGAGGTAGACTGGTCATCACATTTAGTAAATTTCCCTTTCCTTAATATGATAAACTTAGAATTGTGAGCTTACTCCCTCCTTAGAGGGATTTATTGACCATAGAACTCTAAACATTAAGAATACATGGCTTGATTTCTTATTTTACATGCCTTCACACCTGAGGCATGTTACCTTCAAAATGTATGCCATCTCACGTTCTTCTTACTTGAGACGTTGGCATTTCTACCATTCAGCAGTGGGGTCCATGATCTGTTTCACTGATCATGGGAAGAATTCTGTGACTTTGTTGAACAGTAAAGTGGTTGTGGGGGAGTAAAATTCACACTCTGTGACATGAGTAAATGATACATATTTCCTCTTAGTCTTTGGGGATGCTCATTCTTAGAACCAATTGCCATTGCTATCAGCAGGCCCACTGTTTTGGTTTAGATTTAAAATGTCCCCTAAAAGTTTCATGTTTAAAGGAAGGATCTTACTAGAAAGGGCAGGTCATTGGGGACATGATTTGGACATAACTCATCCCTGTTTCATTCCTTGTCTCTCTGCTTCCTGGCAACCATGGGGTGAAGAGCTTTAGTTTACCATACTGTTCTGCAAATACTAAAGCTGGTGGCCTGCCTGGACATCATTCAAATGTTGCTGGATTTCCTGGCATGTAGAATGAAAGAATTATGAGGTCACAGAGGCTCCCACTAAGATTTCAGAAGGCCTGGGAGTCCAGGCAAAAATGTGTGACAGGGTCTCAGTTCCTCACTGTGTCCCCTGAAATGATAGTGCATTAAGGACTGAGAGTGAAGCTAAAGTTGTATTGGAGACACCAAGAAGTTAGGGATACCAGAAATGTGGAATATCTGCTGAGTAAAGCTGCACGTATTGTGCAGATCCATTCCAAGAGAGAGGGCATGTAGGCTGCAACCAGGAAAGTGGTAAGAAAGAGGCTGTTAAAGCCCTTTGTTCCTCATATTGCCCCATAATTTGCATTGGGTGCTTGCCATGCAGCTATAAGAGTTAATATTTGCCCTACTGAGATTTGGTCTTTCTTTGGTCTGCATTCTATCTATTCCCCTATTCATTCCTTTTGGAATGGAAATGTTTGCCCTGAACCACTATATGTTGGAAGGGTTCAATTTTCTTTTTGATTTTTTACATGGGCTCACAGCTAAATGTTTGTCTCAATTCTAAGAAGAGATTTTGATCTTCAACTTTTCAGCAATGTTGAAACTGTTAAGACTCTTGTGACTCAGAGATGAACTAAGTGTATTATGCATAAAGAGGTGGACATAAGCTTTGGAGGGTCAAGGGTGGAATATCATGGGTTATATGTAAAATGTTCCCCCCGAATAAAATCTCATGTCCACAGGTAGATTCTGGTCAGATAGGGAGGGGACTGGGACCATGACTTGAAAAGTATTCTAGTCCCTGGTTCCTACCTTACCTCTGTGCTTCCTGGCCACCATATGATGGACAGCCTTCCTCAACAATACCATTCTGCCATTCTGTTTCTGCTTTGGAGCTAGTTGACCACGGACCAAATCCACTGAAACTGTGAGCCAAAATAAACCTCTCCTTTAAGTTGTGGATGTTGGGTATTGCGTCACAGTTGCAGGAAAGCCAGATAATATACCCATAATTTATATGGAGAAACTAAAAGTAGAAGTTCCAGGTTTCAGCCCAGCTGAGGTCTTTGTTAACAGCCAGCATCAATCACTGCCTATACAAGTAAGGAACTATCAAATGATTTCAGCCCCTAGCCATTGAGTAATCACAACAGCATAATGGGGTAGATATAACCCAGTCCTATTGGTCTCTCCCTTAATCTGTGTGCATAATAAAATGGTGTTTTACTTCATTATTTTTGGATGGGTTTGATATATAGAATAACTCCCTAATTTTAATAATGATCCCTGAATTCACTCACTAGTTTCAAACAAGGTTAAAGTCATAAGTCTTCTAAGGAACACATCACTGAAACAAAGGCTGGTGATTTTAGTAAAATATATATATACATGTATATATATGGAATTCCTCTTCTAGTATTGCTCTATTCTTTAATATTTCCTTTTATAACCCATGTGGAGCCTTTTATATATAGCCATGTTAATGTGGACTGAGGGTCAAATTTCACTTTGAAAATCCTAGCAGGGCCATGTTAGGGTACAAGATTTTAAAAAGCATGGATTTGGTATCTTAGGCAGCTTGGGTTCAAAGAGGAAGGCTAACTCTGCTGGTAATTTTTCTTTTCCATGCCCTCCTTTGAACACAAAAACTGATTTATCTTATAGCCAGCTTTTCATTAAATAACTACACTTAACTTGATTAAGAGATTCCATTGTAGTTATCAGTAAATATTCAGTGTAGGATTAGAATGGTTATTTGTCTAAAATATAATTTCTTACCTAAACTCCTCTGAAATCTAAAACTTAGCTGGACAGATAGACTTTATCTGGTGATCATTTACCAAGTCTCTTCTGACATACTTTTTCTTGAATACATGGTTAAAATTATTCTGTTCCTTTTTCTTTGTTCATATAACCAACACATTGGTTTAAATCTTAGTTGTACTTTATATCTAAGATACTGAAAACAGTTCATTCTTTATCTTCCAGGCAAGTCCAAGGTCTAGCCCATGGGTTGGAGCTGCCCAATTAAACAAAAACTATTTGTTTCAAAAAGGAAGCTTTGTTACTTATATACACCAACTATATTATATGTTTTATATGCCAGCCCAAGACATTTTCTCTTCATTCATTTTGGCCCAGGCAAGCCAGGCATGTCCAAGCACGTGCACTGCGAGTTGGATAAGCTAGCATATATTACCCTGCCATATGATACAATCCAAAGCCATGTAAAAAGATAATTAAATACATAGAGATAAAAATTTCTAAACTAAAATCCTGGTTTTCCCTTATTATGTTATAGTTAGCTCACAACAACTTTGTTTATCATACTCTGCCTAAGTTTCATCATTTGTAATATCCAGTAAAAAGTAGTGGCTACCTATAGAGTTATTTGGAGGATTAGATAAACACATGCAAATCCCTTAGAATACTTCCTGACATATATTAAGGGAGGACTAGGATATACAGTAGTGTTCCTATATATAGCAAAAGTTAAGGTGCGGAGGGCAAGTGGTAAGAATTCAAAAAGCAATCATGTAAAAGATTAGTAATTAAGTCAACATATATGACACACTTGTTATAAGCCAGAATCTATGCTGGGAACACAGACATCAATTAACAGCTTTCTGTTTTCTGTGAAGGTTCAGGATATTCCATCCTAAGATATGAGTCAATAGTAAAAATATAGTAGCAGAAGTTTTAGGAGAAGATGATTTTAGATTTGAATACTTTGATTGCAGAAGCCATTGATTCTTCTATATAGAACTGTGCAGAATTAAAAATCCCCTCATTAGTCATTTGTTAGGGTTCCCTGCTTCTTTTCTTTATAACTATAGAATTTAACTATTAAATATATATTAATTAAAGATATGTTTTTCTGTGCTCAATTCTAGTCTTGATTTTCAGACTAGGTAGAAAGTTCCTCAAGGCTGGACTATACATTCCATGTTGTAAATGACATAGAAGTTTATATTTTATAAATACATGAGGCAAGAAAGTTATCTGTAGCTTGGAAATAAGGGAAAACAGAAAATAGCTTCCTATTTCTATAAGGACATTATTTAACATTCTTACACCTGATTTATTTTTAGGAGAATGTACCTGTGTAAAAATGTACCTGTCTTTCCTTTTTATCATTTAATAAAAGCCCAAACATTTAAAAATACAAATTTAGAGGTAGTTTCTATACAAATAGGAAAGACAACTTCAAATATTATTGCCTGATTGGACATTAACAAATTTTGTATTTAATCTAGCAAGGTTATTTGTAGTATTCATATTTTTGTAAATGGCTGTAATACTCAGCTCCTTAATTACTCCTGCAAGCAGTTTTATCAGCTTACTGGTTTTGTCATTAATAAGCTAAAAGATATTTGATCTATATATATATGTTTTTCTTGGAGTAACTTTTTTGACTTTTAAAATTATATTCTGTCTTGTCAGCTATATGAGAACATAGAATTAGGAAGGTACTGTAGATATAGTCATTAATTTATGCCAATACATTTTTCATTATGCACATTTGTATTGAATCCGTAATATTTGAGTTTTAGAATTTTCATTATCATTCAGATGCAAATTAATTATATTTTCATTCTAATTTATTTAATAGAACTTTGGATTAAGAAGTACATTTCTTAATTTCCAAACCTTATAGTGATTCTAGTTTCTGTTATCAATCTCTCAGTAACTTATGTTGAAGTCAGAGAATGAATTGTACATGATCACAATTATTTTTTTAATTTTAATGAGATGGCCTTATGGCCTGGAATATGTTTCACTTTCAGAGTTACTCCATGTATACATAAGAATGTAAATTCTGAACTCATATTCATAAATTTATATTCAAACTATATTTTAAATGTAAAAGTACTTATTGTTGCAGTAAACATTTAGTATAAATTCCTAGTTCCCTTGCTCTTTTTTGATTTCAACCTTCTACTTGAGGTGATTTTTCTTCTTTGTGTGAGGTGAACGTGATAACCACTACACTATGGAAACCACTACTGATTTTTCTTCTTTGTAAAGAATGCTCTTCAGTATATTCTTTACTGTAATTCTGATGATCATCATTTTTGTTTTTATAAGAGTTCCTTATTCATATTTGAATTTATTTTTATCTGGAAGAATACATTTTTCTGAATTTTGAATGTTAGATTATAATTTTTTTCTTTCATTGACATAATGTATTTTGTTATATTGGGCATTCTTTTTTTTGGTACTGAGGATTGAACTCGGGACCTTGTACTTGGGAGGCAGGTGGCAGAACCACTGAGCTAAATCCGTGGCCCCTTTGGCATTCTTTTTCAACTATGTTGAATTCAGTTGCCAATTAATTCAGTTGATGTTATTTGAAAGTCTTTTTTATTTTTCTTGTTCATTTTAATATTCACTATGTGGTTGTGGGTTTTGTCAATAAAAATCTGATGAGCTCATGTATGGACTTTTAACTTGTTTAAGATTTTTCAGTAATCTATGTGTGGCTTGCTATCTTTCATCAATTTTAAAAATTAGTAGCTATTATGTTCTAATCTATTACTTTACCCCACTTTCTCTATTTGGGCTAGGATTTCAAATACATATAAATAAGATTTTCTTATTTACATTTTATATCCACTTTGTACTATGTTTTTCATCTGGTTTTCTAATTATTCTTCATTTTAGATGTTACCTTTCAGCTCACTAAATTGTTCTCTTCTATTCCATTTAATATTTGTTAAACTCATTTCTTGAATTTGTTTTGAGTTATTGTTTTTCTTAGTTCTAGAATTTCAATTATTTTTTGTTTTTAAACATTTTTAAAATTTCAATTATTTTGTTAATTAAACTCTCTCTAAAAAAACACATTCTAAAGGTCAAAACTAATGACTATACTGTCAGATTTTTAATGTAATTTCTTAGTTTTCATTTCAGTTTTTTAAATGTAGAGTTTACATTTCATATTTAAATCCTCAAGTGAGTCTCATTACCATTTATTATATGTTGGACATGAACAGAGAGAAGTTATTTGGAAATATATTTTTTAATTACACTGCTTCATTTTGTTCCAAAGATAATCTACCTCTCCTCTCTTTAGGTACCAGGAAGTATTAGAAATCCAAGGCATTGCTGCCTGGTGTGTGAAGATAAGGTACATGAGCTCCAGTGTCTGGAAGTACAGTACCTTTACACTACTTGGGGTCATCCTTATTTCTCTGATGCTGCACTTCTGGAGAATCCCACTTCAAAGAACAGGTGATTGCATCCTCTTGGAAATCCCCTGAGTTTGATTTTTTTTATTTTTAATTTTTTTCATTAAGCTTATTGGTACATTTTAGGTATACAATATCTCTTGGATATCAAAAGTGCTCAATCCCTTTACATTCCACTTTTGGATTTAGAAAAGCAGCCACAAGTACCAGAATAAAATTTTAAAGCCACATTCATTCTTCCTTGATAGCACTCTGGGTATTCCTCATAATTTTGTTAGGTATCTGGTGCTTTAAACACACCACACACATATAAAACACACACACAAACACATATAAATAGTCCATATATAAGTGCATTATATTTATATATTCATTCTGTTTCCTCATTATGCTGTAGATTACCTAATCCACAATCACCAGAAAGAAAATTCTCCTTCCCTAACTTCCCTAACATCTTATAACTGATAATTTGAACTCTAAAAATAAAAAACTCAGCACCTATCACTGCATAAGCATGAAATGTAAATATTGCAAAATATTGCAAAGCACTTCTTTCATTCATAGTATATTAACTAAAAATCATGATTTAAAAATTGTTGCTTTAATATGACATACATCTGTTACTAATTTGTACTGTTTTTCTAGTGTATGAAATATTATAGTAACAGGAGTAATAGAGGATCGGGGATGGGAATCAAAAGAAGAGTGACTTTGTGGAGTTAAATGTACTAACTGCAGTCAAAGTAATAAATAGCAAGGGAAAGTTAGTCCAAAAATAAGAAACCCATTTAAAATAATACACCACTGAAAGGAAAAATGATCTCTCCTACCCCAATACTATCCACAAGCAATCATGAATACTTATAATAATGTTTCCATGTCTTGAATAAAAATACTACATGATGCTTAGTGAGTTCTACCTTAAATAGGTAATGAGATTTGTGACATGTTTTAAGCTTACTTTCATTGTTAACTTCTAAGCTTGGATTATTACAGTTTAACTGTATTCTGAGTGATCAGGTCCTTTTATGATTACCATCAGAAGAGTATCTTGTTCCCTACCAATTACTTCCTACAGTGTCAATAGTAGCTAATCCTAATATTTCTTTCTCATTATAAAAATGAATTTATTTACTATTTTCTTTATGTATATACTTTAAATCTTTAATCTCAAGTTTGGAATACACTCTTTAAGACTTTTTTACTTTGTACCAAATAGCACTGAGCTATTTTCAGTACAGAAAGAGGAAATAAAATATTGCTTGTACAGCAAATTTCTCTTTTTTTGCTGAGTCTTTTATTCATTTTGGCCAGTGGTACATATTGGAGTCTTTAAATTATGACTTTTCTGTTCACATAACCATGATGTATAACAAATTGGACATCAAGCTAAATTGATATACTGGCTTTATTTATTTATTTTGATCAGTAAACTAAACCAATCTTGAACCTTATCTGACCTCAACTAAACTCCCAGAGAACTGGATGCATTTCTGAAGGGATAGGAATTTGGCCCAGAAATATTCTTTGGTCTGCTCTACCAAGGAAATTACATATATTTATAGATGGAAATGTAAAAGCAAAAAGGCAAGGATACTTTTTGTAAACCTAGCATATTTTGTTAACATAGACCAGTAGTCATCCATGCTTCAGAAAGTTGGCATTAGCAGGCCTATGTCACCTTTCATTCCTGTTAAGAAAAGTTGTTTTCCATTTGGATTGTCTATAAAGTGTTACTGGAAATAATAATGCATAATACAAATGTAAATATATTGAAAACGGCCCTTGAAATGAATACCTTCCTCTTCAAATCTATTGAATAAGAAACACTATTATTTGAGAAACTTAAATGAACTTGCTCTCAAAGTTAAAAAAAAAGTAAGATCTTTAAAAAAGACCACTAAATGTACCTAATCTCCACCCTCAACTCATAAGTACCACATTATCTTAAAATACTCTGCATTTCCAGTTAGAAAAGTATATGATTTCAAAATATCTACTATGAAGAATGCTTGAGAATTCTTCCTAGTCTTTAGAGTCCAGAAGTCAATAATGTTAGTCACACCATGATATGCATGCTACTCATTTAGAAGGAAAAAGAAAAACACAGAAGTGCTACCTGATGGGACAAGGTTTCTGAAAGAAGAAGTAAATTCAAGTAATTATAGAACATGAAATATATAGCTGAAAATTGTGACCATTAAAATATCTTGAACACTTAGGAGCTGGAACAAGACCCCTGGGCATTTAAAGGCAGAGCAAAAACCAAGAGAATATTAAATGCTAATCTGGAAGGGCACTGAAGACAGTTGCCCCAGATTGGATGTGCTTCCTGGAATCTGGAGAAGGATTAAGAGGATGTAATTCAAAAAGCTTTCTCTGTCAAAAAACAATTAAAGTAAGAAAAAGTGTATGGTCTAAGTAGAATTGTTACTTATGAGCAATGGGTCTGAAAATAAACTGTAATTCTGGCTAAACTTTTGGAGAAATTTCTGCCTTCAAATAATAAATTTTCTCTTGATGTCACAAATCCTACTGTCTCAAAGATAGAATAATTATCCTGAGGCATTGGGTTTTGTTCCTGTCACCTTTAGCATCAGAATCTTACAAATTTTAAGGTCTTAAAAATGTCATTGGAGGAAAGCCTCTTCCAGAACTACCAGGCTAGATTATTAAAATGGTAATTTGAGAACAATTAGAATAATTGAACTAAATGTTAGAAGTAAATCTGTAAGAGACCATAGAGAACATATGAGGTTTAATGATAGTTTGGAGAACAAATATCTTGCGGTAAAGTAAATCCCAGAAAGATGAGCCCTGCTTTGGAATTTTCCCTCCCCTACATCCATTTTTTTCTTATTTCTAAAGCTACAATTGAGTGGCTGAAGACAATTAACAATATTTTTATATAATTATAAAGACAAAACATGATGATTCAGGGACTTCTAAGGAGTTATGTTTGAAAATAATCTCTTACACCTGGAATCTTTTATTTCTTTTTCAAATGAACTGAAAGGATATGAATTCCAGAATTGCAGACAGTTTCTTCTTGATAATCTACTGATGAAAAATTGAAAAAATATCAAAATTGTTTTATAAATAACTCACACTACAACCTTTTTTCTCTATCTCTGTGTCCCTATTCTTAACGTTTTCATTCTTTTGTTTTTTGTTGTTGTTGTTTTTCCCATTAAGTTTATTGGTACATTTTAGGTATAAAATACAGTTACATATATTATTGGGATCTTGTACCATTACATGAGTATCTTGGTTCTTATTTTTTCCCCTTCCCCTGCCCTCCCTTCACCCCTCCACCCTTCCCTAATTGCAAAGACCTTGTTTCCATTTTTTTCCTTTTCTCATATTTTTTCTTTTCCCTTCTGTCCTTTCCCCTACTGCTCCCACTTCCCCTTCTCCTTTAGAACTTTACTTCCTATTACACAATATCAATTATACATTTTTAAAATTACAATATCAAGATCTAGGAGACATTACCA